GTATGTATTTTCTGTACATGAGTGTTCTGTCTTCATGTGCACCAGCAGAGGGCACCAGATCTCACACAGATGGTTGTGAGCCACCATGTGGTTGCTGGAAATTGAACGCAGGACCTCTGGAAGAGCAGCCAGTGCTCTTAGCCGCTGAGTTAACCCCCCAGTCCCCTGGAAACAGGGTTTTAATACAGCCCAGGCCAGCCTAAAACATTCTATACAGCCCAGGGTGATCTTGAACTTCTGAGCCTCCCACCTCCATATGCTGAAAGTATAGAGATGAACCACCACAGCCTGCATTGGGTTGTTTTTACTTTTATTATTTTCGAGTATGTGTGTGTGTGTGTGTGTGTGTGTGTGTGTGTGTGTGTGTGTCTTAGTGTGTGTGCAGGACAGAGGTGGCAGATCCTCCAGAACTGGAGTTACAGGTGGTTTTAAGCTACCCCACGTGGATGCTAAGAATTGAACTGGGGTCCTCTGCAATAGCAGTCCATGTTCTTAACCACTGAACCATTTCCTCAGAATAGCACCCTGTATTTTTGGTTTTCTGTACAAAAGATTGGACCTAGGGCCTCATGCTCGGTAGCCCAGCACTCTACCCCCAAGGGAGGCTCCCAGCCCCTAATTGGGAAGTATTTTAGGACAGATTTGTTTCATCCCGTCCTAAGACCTCAGGTTGCCAGGTATGAATCAGGCACACAGGACTCCACAAGTTGTTACTAATATCAGAAAATGTCACATCCCACATAAAATTAAAATGAGGGAGACCGAGGGCAGATACCTGCAGAAACAAGCAGAAACAATCTGTCCAGGGGCTGTGAGCCGGGCTGGAATGTACCCAGTGTCCCTCAATGTAGTTCAGACAATGCCCGGGGAGCTGGCCATCTCCTGAGGAGACAGTTCCTCATCAGAGAACGTCTGTCTCTTAGGAAGACAGAGCACGTGTGTCCTCAGCTTGCTTGCCCCCAGGGAGCTGGGTCTGCCCACATTAATCACTAAGGCAAGCGCCTACAAACTCACCCAGAAGCCAGTCTTTCAGAGGTGTTTTCTTAACAAGGCCCTCTTCCCAAATGTCTATAACTTGTGTCAAGTTGACAAGACCAGACAGCACAACTGGGCCATCTGAAACACTGGGGGAAAAGGCAAGAAGAAAAGGGAGTCTTCAGTGACACCTCTGAGAGGAAGAAGCTTTCAGGACAATTTGTTACCTAATGAGAGCAAGAGAGCATGGGGGTGCCAGCCTCGTTGGCTGTTTTTACTCCCCACAGTCTCGCTGTGTGGCCCTACCTACTTCAGAATTCCCTTTGCGCTGGTAACTTTGTAAATATAGCAAACGAGAGCTGAAGGTGGGAGGATCAGGCATCCAAGGCCAGTCCTACCAAGATAGTAGTTTGAGGTCAGTCTGGGTTACAGGAGACTGTCTCAAAAATCCACAACCAAAGCCAACAAATAGCGCAGTGACTTGTGGCAATCGTCCCGTCTCGACTCCACAGTGTGAGAATTACAGGAGGGGACCATTGCTCCCTGCTGGGCTGCAGGGTGTAGCTCAGTGGTTGAACACTTGGCTTATCATGTGTGAAGCTCCAGACAGACAGAGACAACAACACACAGGCAGCAGACGCGCGCGCGCGCACACACACACACACACACACACACACACACACACACGAGCTTGACATGGAGCCTCTTTTATGCTTTTATGTGAGCTAGAAAGAGGGACTTCTTCCTTCCTCTGGGCAGGCAGCCCGCGACCTGACTAGGAAGCCGAGTCCAGCGGGCATTCAGCCCTGTTTATCAGGCTCTGTGGAGTTCATGGGCAGGGTGGAACCGATCCAACCCTCCTGGTGACCTGGGTTATTTATTGGGACATAGTGAAACATGAAAGCATTTTTAGTTAGGAGCATGGGCTTTGGAAAAGAAGGAAAGGGTGTGGAGAGTCTCTGCCCTTTCTGTGAAGTGCGGGTGCAGATCCACGAGCAGGCTCGCGCAGCAGGGAGCCCGTACATCCGAAGCCTCCAAACGTTTCAGAAACAAGGGTCAGTCCTAAAACTATGCCAGCTGGCAAGTGCAGGGGACTCTGACTACTCACAGTTCCTGAATTATATGCAAATTACATCTTGGAAACCCAACAAATAAACAGGAAATGTGGAGTTAAGTAACCAAAGTTTCCTTCAAGGAAGTTTATGTGACCACCCCCCAAAAGTCAGTAAGTGAACAGCAAGCAAAGCCTAGGCCCTGAGAGAGTTAACTCTCTGTGTCCCTGGAGCAGGCAAGGGAGCCTGGGGGAGGGGGCTGGAGAGGGCAGCAGATCCGGCATCTATCCCCCCTTCCTTTGTGTGTGTATATGTGTGTGCTGCGTGTATGTGTTCCTGATCGTGGGCATACATGTGTGGGCGGGAGCCTGTGCTTGTGTGTATGGAGGCCAGAGGTCACTGCCAGGTGTCTTCCTCAACCACTTCTTCATCTTAGATTTTGACACAGGGTTTCTCACCACACCTGGGAGCTTCCCGGCATCCAGGGCTGCATCTCTGCATACAGGGCCTTCGCCAACCCTGTTTGCCCACGTTTGGATAAAGAAATGGGAGACGGGTAGAAAATGGATTTTATCTTCTAGAGGAAAAAAAAAACAGAAAAAAAAAACCTGTTCAAGCCCAGAGATAATCCAACCTTTCCTAATGTAGTAGTGACACACAGGTGGACCCTGACCTGAGGGCCCGTCACTCCTTACCAGCAGTGAGCTGTGCTCCTGAGGACAGACAACCAGAGCTCCGGATTGTTTCATTTAGATTTGTTGTTGCTCGTTTATGTGTATGGCTCTGTGCCTCTTGCTTACAGTGCCTGTGGAGGCCAGAAGGAGTTAGAGCCCCTGGCACTGGAGCTAAGGATGGTGGTGAGCACATGGTGCCTGGGGACTGAACCTGGGTCCTCTGGAAGAGCAGCCAGTGCGCTCCATCGTTGAGCCGTCTCTCCGGCTTCACTGTTGTTGAAAAGGGTTGGAGAGATGGTGCAGGGGTTAAGAGTGTGTATTTCTCCTGCAGAGGACCAGAGTTCAATTCCCAGCACCTGGCTGCCCAGCTGCAGGGGATCCAACAGTCCCTTCCGGCTTTCTCAAACATCTGCATGCATGTGCACATACACACACATAGATAAAAAATAAAATACATTGAAAAATAAGCTGTTGCAAAGAGAAGAGCGAGGGCCTGACTGAGCGTGTGGAAGCAGGAAGCAGGCAATACCCGCAAAGAGGAGCTGGGTATGGCGGCATGAGTCTGTGATCCCAGCACTCGGGAGGCTCACAGGGCTGGAGCATTGCTTTTCAGTTCAAGGCCAAACTCAACTACATATAGTGGAATCCTGGAGAACGACACGGGAGGGAAGAAAAATGTTGATGATTGCGATTGAAAATATTTGGAGGGAGTGGGGAGCAGCAGATGGAGGTGGTGAAAGGGAAGAATTCTGAGGGGTACGGATACCTGGAGGGAGGGACATTGGCTCCAGAAGGTGCAAGGAATCCCACAAGATTCTCAGTCTTTGATTAGCATTTTACCTTTCCATAGTCCAGTAACTCAGGTCCTGACCTGGCTCCTGCTGCAGCAAGTCCAGAACCCTGGCCCAGGAAGTTCATCCATTCATCTCTTCCTTTCTGCTCTCACCTCCCCTTATTGTACAAACTGACACTCAGGTAGGGGTCAGCTCGGCTTTAGTAAAGCCTGAACCAGGAATAGGCCAGTCAAGACGTACAGCTGTGCGGGGTGGTGGGGGCGCACGCCTTTAATCCCACACTGGGAAGTAGGGGCAGGGGGATCTCTGTGACTCTGAGACTAGCCTGGTCTACAGAGCGAGTTCTAGGACAGCCAAGGCTGTACACAAAGAAATCCTGTTTCAAAAAGTGGGGGAGGAGCGCATACATTGTTACCAGGGGACAGCACAGCCTCACTCTGTGGGCGAAAACAGCAGACTGTGGGAGAAGCCAGAGACAACTGTCCATACAGTGATCTCTGCCCAGGATACACCTCTGTGGACAGCTCTCAGTCGCTCTTTGACACAATTTATCTTTCCGTGCTCAGCAACAGACATCTCTGAGACCTGCTCTGCCGTCTTCCCTGCAGTCACTGCCAGAAACTAGCCTCCCTTAGGCGGTGGAGGACGTGGTGGGCCGTGAGCCTTCGGCAGTGCCTGTGACCTCTCCTCCGGCTGGAACAAGTGACGTGGTATCTTTCCTAGTTGGACCGAGGAAGCCTGTGTAAGGCGTAGACCGCTTACTGGCTCCACCTGTGATGGGCTCCCAAGTGTCCCCTCTCAGTCTCCATCCAGTCCCTGGTGTAAGAGCGAGCGTTACACACCCCGCAGGTAGAGCAGTGACAGGACCAGGCAGATGCTACAACGGGCTGCTCGGTCTTCTCTCAGAGCTCAGGCCTCAGTTTCAGTTTCCTGAGACTGAACTAGCAGTTTCTGAGGAAAAGCCACAAATAAAGGACAATCAAATTCTAACACCCCAACAGCAAGGAGGAGCCTGCCTGGTACACACAGTACTAGGCCAGGCTGGGCCTGAGTCAGCCCCTCCCCCGCAGTAGCTCAAGGACAGGGCCTGAGACTGGTCCAGGTCTGCCCCAAAATAGAAAACCCCAGACTAACCCTAGCCAATTAAGATGTACTAATACGATTTCTACTTTTTCTTTTTTTTAATTTATTTTTTTTTATTTTTATTTTTGGTTTTTCGAGATAGGGTTTCTCTGTAGCTTTGGAGCCTGTCCTAGCACTAGCTCTTGTAGACCAGGCTGGCCTCAAACTCACAGAGATCCTCCTACCTCTGCCTCCTGAGTGCTGGGATTAAAGGCGTGAGCCACCACCACCTGGCTGATTTCCAAATCACCAATCATATTTAAAATGACCAAACTTCCTTAGACGCTCCCCTCAGTAATGCTTAAAAGAAGCCCCCACCTCCTTCTTGGGGTCATCACCATCTTGGTGGTCAGACCCAGCATGCTGGTATAATTTAAAAAAAAAAAAAAAGACTCTTTGTTTTTGCACCGGATCTGGTCTCTCGGTGGTCTTTGGGGCCCCCGGCTCTGAGCGGCATTGCTCTTCCCGCAGGGCCCCTCCTACTCTGGAGCCACTCCTCACATCTCCTCCACAGCTCTAGGTTCCCAGCTTTTGTGAGCTGTGACTCGAAGGGGCAGGTATTCAGCACAAGGTTCTTAGCACAAAAGAGATTTATTTGCCCCAGAGGGACGAAGGACAGGAAATAAGAGACAAAGACAGGAGCTGGAGGATGTGGGAGAAGGGGAAGGGAATAAGGGAGAGAAGGAGGAGATGTGTGTCTCAGAGGGACAAAGGCCAGCCTCTGGTGAGGGAGGAGACAAAAGGGGTCGAAGGCAAACCTGGTTAATACAGACGAAAGGGGGAACCCTCTGTTAGGATGAGGTGTTTAATTTTGTTTGTGTCAGGGTGCTAGAAGGGTACCCAGTCTCCTGAGCAGATTAGCGTGAGCACAGTCTGGGTCGTTTATCGAGGCTGAGATGCTAAGGCGATGAACCATCTCTTCAGATGTAACCTGTTTCTGTACAATCGGTGGCCAAGGTGCCTCCCAGCCACCTGTCGAGGACTTTCAGGGCCATGGATTTAGCTGCGTGTCACAACCTCCCCCAAACCTCTGCCCTACAACCTTTATCTCTAACCCACAATCCTCCCCCACCCTTTGGTTCGGTCACCCAACAGATATGTGCAGAATGCCACCGTGTTCCAGGCACTGCGCTGGCAATGGGGTAAAGACGCCCACCAAGAGCCCCTCCCTGGCTGTGGGTCCCTATAGCCCAGGGTGGTCACAGCTGAGTCAGCGCCCACATCTGAGCCGAGCCTATCTACTCAGTCATCAGAGTGAGGTTAGTCAGTGGACGGAAGACTGGATAGGAACACAGGGTGCTGTGGGAGTTTCAGCGTGGCCTGGAATTTCATGTCCTGCAGACCCAAGTCCTACCTACCAATTGTGTGACTTTTTCTCCACACTTCTATTCCTTTCTGGAAATAACCATAGCCAGCCAACAGACAAGAATAGACAGATGGCTTACTGATGTTGGCTAGTTGTTTGGTTTCTTTGAGACAAGGTCTCGCCGGTCGTCGTCTGGCTTACTACGTAACTGAGGATGACCCTGATCCTTCTGCCTCTACCTTCCCGATGCTGAGGTTAGGGCAAGCATCGCAGTGCCTGGTTTTGGTGTGCATGGCTCCTTTGGTAGAGAAGACCCTGGGTTCCATCCCTGGAACCACATAAAATGGGTGTGATGGTTCATGCCTGTAATCCCAGCACCCAAAGAGTGGAGGCAGGAGAATCAGGAGTTAAAGGCCACCTCAAGTACACACCAAGTTTGTGGCCAGCTTGAGAGCAGTGAGAGAGAGGGAGAGACTTTAAGCCTCCTTCTCCTAGAAATATCCCAATTCATTCTATCTACAAGCAGAGCAGGGACCCCTGGGCTTCAGGATCCACCCCCGTGTGAGTCATTCCCTGTGTGGGTCTTTAGTGCACTTGTCTTCACGCCCAGAAGGTCAGACACCTTTGAACTGCTGGAAAAACACTACGTACAAAGCACAGAGTTCAGGAAAGAAAACATGGAGCCAAGTCAGGGAATCGAGCTCCTGCTGATTTTGGCCCAAGTCCAGCTTCAGCCCAGCCAGGACGAGAAGATCTTGCCCAGGAACACCGAAGCTGAGGGGGTGGGGGGAGAGTCACAAGCCAAACTTGGGACTCTGGTGGAAAAAAGATAAAGTTTAATTAGCTCGTTGTAGCGAACAAAAGGATTGGTTCTACACGTTTTGTTCTTTACACTGTAGATAAGAAGTGGATTCCCCTATGGCTTGGAGCAGGGAGCTTCACAGCCAGGTCTGAGACACTTGTTTTATTTGTTTCGTTGTGGGGAATCAACCAAGGGCCTCACAGTTGGCAGGCAAGTGATCTATCATTAAGTTATAGCTGTAGCCCTGATAAATCTGACTACATAAAAGTTTTCATTTATTTATTGGGGGAGGGGGATGCTTACCACGATGGGCGTGGAGGCCAAAGGATAACCTGCAGGAATCTGTTCTCTCCTTCCCCTGTGTGAGACCCAGACACGGAGCTCAGGGTTTCATGCCTGGCTGCAGGTGCCTTCGTCTGTGAAGCCATCTCACTAGCCTGTACATAAAAAATTTTCATCAGATGCAGTGATACACGCCTTTAGTCCCAGCACTCAGGAGGTAGAGGCAGAGGCAGTCTGATCTCTATGAGTTTGAGGCCAACATGAACCAGGACAGCCAGAACTACACAGTGAGAAACTATCTCAAAAACATCACCACAATTTTTTCGTTGTGTGTGTGTGTATATGTGTTTATGTGTGTGTGTGTATATATGTGTGTTTGTATGTATATGTGTGTATGTATGCATGTGTTTGTGTATATGTGTGCATATGTATGTGTGTATTTGTGTGTATTGTGTATGTGTGTATATGTCTGTATGTATATACGGGTGTGTTTGTGTGTGTGTGTGTGTATGTATGTATGTGTTTGTGTGTATGTGTGTGTATGTGGAGGTGCCTGAGGAGGCTAGAGGTATAGGTTTCCTGGAGTTGGGGGTACACATAGTTATGAGCTGGTTAACATAGATAGGAAGCAAACATAGTCCCTCTGCCAGAGCAATACATGTTCTTAATCCCAAAACTACCTTTGCACCCTCCTTATACATAATAACATTTTAGAAGGAAATCTTGTGACATTCAAGGGGTACAGTTCAGGGTAAAACCCTTGCGTCACACACGCAAGGTGAAGAGAACCAGTTAGTTACATTATCACATCAGCCCCAGAACCCCCACCTAGAAAAGCAAAAACCTGGAAGAGTCCACAATGGAAGTGAGATGGAAACAGCAGGCACCACAGACGAGTGGCTATGTCCTGACATATCTACAGCTTTAGAAAGTAAAAACACACAAGCAAATGTTCCCATAAAAAGTAATGCAAAAGGGGTGTTGGGTCTTGTTTCTCGTAAGAAATACAACACTTTAGTATTGCGTCCTGCAAATCAGAGTGGGAAGAACTCGAAGCCTGTCAGCAGAAGCGGCTGGCAAAGCTGTGGGCACCAGACCTCTAGGGCATCGTTGGTAGGACACAAAGGAGGAACCCATGTGGGGGGAGGCAATCATTAGCAGAGCTACACACACATATCCTTTTAAAGCAATATTACTTCTAGGAATGTATTTTTTAAAAAAAATTCTCTGGCAAAGGCTATATGTGGTCATGTACATCTTTAATCCCAGCACTCTGAGTTGGAGGCAAGTCGATCTCTGCAAGTTCAAAGCCAGCCTGATCTACCTAGAGAGTCTCAGGCCACTCACAGCCACAAAAGGAGACCCTGTCTTCAAAACAGAACGGGGAAGGACCCATATCCCTGGGGGTCTTGCCTATACTCCCGGTTACTAAGGAGGCTGATCCCGTGAGCTCAGGAGTTGGAGGGCAGTGGGGTTAGCTGTGTGTCACTGCCGAGGATACCGAGGATGCTGGGGTGTCTGGGAGCTGGGACATCGTCTAGGAGAACAACAGCTGGGGTACTCCTGGGAGAACGACAGGTGAATGATACAGGACTTGTTTTTGAAAACCAGTAAGTTCAACGCGAATCCTGCAGGGAGCGTGTGGTGGATGAGGCAATTTCACTTACAGACATGGCACACCTTACAGAAAGAGAAGTGTGAGAGAATGCCTGTGTCTCCATCTTGAACACCCTAGCGACATAAAGATCTGTTGGTGATTGTGAACCTGCACCCACGATGCACTCGGGAGTCTCAGGAAGGAAAGCACCAGCCCTCAGTCTGCTCCTGCCTCTCCACGGAGTTTGCCACTGACCAGGAGATCGGTGGGCAGCGGCCGGTGTTACCTGAAACCTTAGAGACAGAGTTGGCAGAACTCAGACTAGGACACAGCAGGGGGACAACCGCAACTGGAGTGGACGTGGCAGCTACACCTATAACCCCAGCCTTACACCAGAAGTTCAAGCCCAGCATGGACTACAAAGTGAGACCCTGTCTCAAAACACAAGGAGGGCTGGGGTTGTTGCTCAGTTGGTAGGGTGTTTTCTTAGTTTGCCCAAACACCTGGGTTTGATTTCCCAGCACAGAATAAACTGGGATTGGTGCCAAGCTTTACTGAACCTGCTCTCAGGGAGTAGAGACAGGAAAATCAGGAGTTCAAGGTCATCCTCAGTTCTGCTATGAATTTGAGGCCAACCTGGAGTGCATGAGACTATCTTAAAAAACAACTGAACAAAAGAACCTACCCCAAACCAAATATACAGTGCTAAATACCATCAATTATTATCAGCAGTTCCGTCCCCTCTGGAGTAACTGTAAGCCTTCCTTGGCACACAAGCCTTCCTTGCTCTCCTCACCTCTCCCTCTCCCTCTCGCTCTCTCTCCCTCCCTCCCTCTCTCTGCCTGCTGGGATTAAAGGGGTGCAGCACCACCGGCAATGCCTTGTTTCCCAGGCCAGCCTCAACTAACCCTCCTGCTTCAGCATTCTGCACAGCCAGGATTGAAGCCGTAAGTGGCTGGGGACTCCATTTTGAGTAGATAAACCTTGTCCGGGACACAGCTGTTCCTGTCAGAAAACCTAGAAATGAGCCCTTCCCTCCCCCCAAGCCTCTGTAGATTCTTTTGTTTGTTTGTTTTTGGTTTTCAAGACAGGGTTTCTCTGTAGCTTTTGGATCCTGTCCTGGAACTAGCTCTTGTAGACCAGGCTGGCCTTGAACTCACAGAGATCCTCCTGCCTCTGCCTCCCGAATGCTGGGATTAAAGTCGTGCGCCACCACCGCCTGGCGCCTCTGTTGATTTCTAAGCAATTTTTCTCTCTTAGGCTCACTTGCTGGTTCTGTGAAAAATCATAATTATACCTTCTCTGCCTAAGACCACAAGATCTTTCAGCTTGCTCCCTGCTCTGGGCAGTTTCCCCAGTTATTATACGAAGAGGAAGCTGGTCAAGCTGATCTCTTATGAAGAGGAAGTTGGTCAAGATAATCTATAATGAAGAAGAAGCTGGTCAAGCTGATCTCTTATGAAGAGGAAGCACCTTAGTTCAGGATGAGAAGAAGGTAAGAGAAACAGAAAGACACAGATTATGACGTAGAGGGCTGGAGCGGTGGCTCAGTGGTTAAGGACACTGGCCAGCTGTAGCAGAGAACCCAAATTCAGTTCCCAGCACTCAGTGGGTAGCTCACAACCATCTGTAACTCTAGGCCCAGGAGATCTGATGCCCTCTTTGGGGGCACCATAGAGGTTGACTTGGACTACAGGCGACTCTCTGCACCGTTCTCTGTCTAAGTGGAATTCATTTCTGGTTCTTGCTACACGACCCGTGCTAGGCTCTGTCCTTCACGCCATCCATGTGAAACCTTCGAGGATAAGAGATTCCCAGCCTAGGGCTTCAGACTGTAAAGGCCCTGGTTTCCAACCCTAACACCTTGGGTCTGGTCTGAGGGACCCACAGGGTGGAAGAAGAGAACCGAGGCCTGCAAGTTGTCTCTGGCCTTCACACACACATGCACACACAGAGACACATACCCACATGTATGCACATACACACATACACACACATGCACATACACACGTGCGCACACACAAACACATGCACACACATGCACATACACACACACGCACGCACATACAGAGACACATACATGCACATACACACACTCACATACATACACACACGTACATACACACACATACACACACATATATACATACACATGCACGCGCACACACATATACACACATGCGCATACACACACACACACAAGACCTACTTCTGTAGTTGGCAACAGTCCTTACCTCGGTGGCTACAAGCAATCCCAGTCACACCTGGAATTATTTCCTGGAGTCAGGAAGCATGAAGCCAAGACCAGCGAGCACCTGTGCCCTCCCCTGCCCCCTGCACTGAGGAGGCGGAACATCTACTATGAGGAACTGAATGGCTTAATCTCTCAACCGTACCCAGCTGGGAAGTTCTGTTCCTACCTGAATTCTAATAGCTCCACGGAGGTCTTCACAGACCACTGAAGCAGAAAGAAATGTCAAGTTTTCAAAGTCACATTCTTACCGTGCAGGCTATCCACAGCGAGGAGACTCATGGTAAGAACTCGTGTGCCCTTCTCTTTCTTTTTCTTCTTTTTCCTTTGAGACAGTCTCACTGGGTTGCTCTGGCTGGCCTTGAACCTACTATATAAGCCAGGCTGGCCTGGAACTCACTCATAAAGATCTGCCTGCCTTTGCCTCCCAAGTGCTGGGACTAAATTCATGTGGCACCAAACCTGGCCTTTTTCTTTTTCTTTGACAGGGACTCACCACGGACCCCAGACTGAACTTAAACTCCATCTTCCTACTTCAGCTTCTCATGTGTGAGTCTATACGGGCCTGTAACACCATGCTCGGTTAAAGAGCAACCTTAAAAATCTGGCTTGGAAGACTGGAGATCTCTCTCTCTCTCTCTCTCTCTCTCTCTCTCTCTCTCTCTCTCTCTCTTGCGAGACAGGATTTTTCTGTAGCTTTGGAGCCTGTCCTAGACCTAGCTCTTGTAGACCAGGCTGGCCTCAAACTCACAGAGATCCACCTGCCTCTGCCTCCCAAGTGCTGGGATTAAAGGTGTGCACCACCATCACCCGACTGCTTTTGTAGAGGACCAGGGGTGGTTCCCAGCACCCATATAGTGACTCTCAACCACCTGCAATTTTATTCTAGGGGATCTGATGCCCTCTTTTGTCTTCTGTGGGTACCAGGTACACACACAGACATACATGGAGGCAAAACACTCATAAAGTAAAACAATAAAATAAATAAACCTTAAAAAAATACTTTGGTTTTTCTGTGGAACCTATACCCCCAGAAAGCTGTGGCCTGAGTTCTCTAGAGAAGCTGCATCTGTCTGAAGCCCCTGTGTTCCCGCTGACTGGCCAAAAGACTCTGGGGAGCTGGAATGTTACAGGCCCCAAGGCAAATTTATCTTAGTCTGTCTTTAGTGTCCTTAAAAGCCATTAGCTACCAATTTCTAATCTGGCCTAACATCTTGTGGTTGTCAGGTAAACCTTCCAGAATGTTTAAACTTAGGAAACCACAGGCTCCAGCCAAGCCTAAGGCTAACCATCAGAAAGCCTCTGGTTTCCAAGATCGCCCACAGCAGAGACTCCCCAGCTTGGCTGTACCCACTTACCAGTGTACTTCTTAAGCGCCTTTCTTTGTTCTGTGACTATCGAAGTTGGGGAACCTGTTCCACATAGAACATGACATGTCTCATCACCCGAACCCGTGTCCTGGGCCATGGGCACTTGTGTTTGGCCTAGAGTAAACTGTCTGCAAGAACAAGAGCAGTGTTTTGTGTCAACAGAGCCGTTGCTAACACTGTAGTTAGAGCAGTAGGAGACCAGAGAAGGGGATAGTTTTTAGGACTCATGAACTAGGGTAAACTAAAGACGGACATTTTGATCTTGAGAAGCCCAGCTCCATCATGCTGTGATAAATATGGATATTTGGAAAGAGGTTTGAGAAACTGCTCCAGGAAACATTTCTCCTCAGTTCAAACCCTCCTCAGAGTGAGATGCAAACCTCAAGTGAAAGGACTGTTCACGGTTAGCATGCGGTCAGAAAACACAAACAGGAAACAGCATAAACATGATGGGGAGACCTGGAGGGTAGCAGGTCCCTCCCAGGGTTTGATGAAGGCCAACCATGGGTCAACTTTTACCCCCCGGAGCATGGCCTGTGACTGAGTAGGCACCAACCTGTCTTGCATTTCAAGACCTAGGGTAGAAATGGGCTTGGCGGCTGGCAGAGTCTGAACTCCCCAAACAAAGGCGTCCTGTTGGTAAGATTGGGCAAGAAAGAAGTGGGCAATGATAAAGCATGGCTGTCATTCCAGCACTCAGGAGGTACAGCCTGCAGGATCAAGAGAAGTCCAAGACCAGCCTTGCCTACATAGTGGGTTCAAGACCAGCCTGTGTCACATCACAGACATGTGTGTAAACACACACACATGCACGTACACACGCATGCACACACATACATGCATGGTAGAGTTGAGAGGCTGTCAGTGGTTAACCCCTGAGCCCACCTCAGGAGCAGACTCGAGGTTCATTTCTCCAGAGCCTGTCTCTTACTAGCTACACACATGGCCTCTGCTTCCTTCTTTCTTGATTTACTAGTGTACTCTGTTTAGCAACATCCATATTAATCATATGTATGTCCTCCCTTGTACCTATCAAAGTCATTTGGTATACAAATTTGATGACGTAAATAATAGTGGCTGTAACTAATATTCTGAACACTGTGTTCCAGGGCCTTGCTCACAATAGCCAGGCACTCAGTAGCGGAGCCACAGTTCATACATCTATCTCCTTTCACCGCAGAAAGCAGCATTTAGCATTTAGAGAGAGCAGAGGCTTGAGAAGGGGAGGCTTTCCACGGTGAGTGACGTAAGTGGTGACTCCCGGTCAAACCCTGTCTGTGTCAGAGCTTGCCAGGTGAGTTATTCTAGTGAAGTGCGTCTCTTTACACACCCTCATTACACAGGGGCCACAAAGAACACAGAGAGTTTGTGAAGTTGCACTTGAGCAGGGAAAGGGAACATTTAACTGCAGCACACCTGAGGGAAAGGGGAACATTTAACTGCAGCACACCTGGGGGAAAGGGGAACATTTAACTGCAGCACACCTGGGGCCCAGACAGGTTCCTTGGATTTTAAGTGCCTTCGTTGCACTGGGCGTGGTGGCACACGCCTTTAGTCCCAGCACTCGGGAGGCAGAGGCTAGTGGATCTCTGGGATCTCTGTGAGTTTGAAAGCCAGCCTGATCTACATGAGTTCCAGAACAGCCAGGGCTACATAGAGAGACCCTGTCTAAAAAATACATAAATAAACAAACAAACAAATAAATAACTTGAAAAAGAAAGTACCTGTTGCTCTTGCAGAGGACCTGGGTTCCATTCCCAACACCCACATGGTGACTCACAAACATCTATAACTCCAGTTCCGGGGTCTAACGCCCTCTTCTAGCCTCATCTGGCACTGCATAAATGTGGCGCTCATACATACCTATGGGCAAAACACTCATATGCAGAAAATAAACCTAAAATAAGTTTAGTTACAACACATTATATACTTATGCACATATACTCATATACAACATTCATACAAAGACACACAGCCACACCCACTCATTCACAAACACTCACACAAGTCCACACACAACCGCACACACTCATAGACACTTACACACTTCACTTAGACTCCTTTATCCTCTCAGCTGCACACGACAAGGTCTGAGCTGTGTGTGCCCTCACTCCTCCAGTTGCCAGAGTGATGTCATCTTGAATGTCATTGTTATCACCAGAACAAAACTTGGAGCCTCCTTAAAGACCCTACATGCTCCTTTGTAGCTCTTTCTGCGTACCAACTAGGCATTCAAAGTCTTTCATCGCCCTGGGACCTCCAAAGGGCCATGCAATAGAGTGCTGTTCACTGCCATCTTTGGTGTCTCTTATGGCACTTGGCACCCAAGAAAATCTTAGTCAGCCTTGGTTGGGCAAGCAGATAAGATGGGCGTGGGGTGGTGCAGGAGTGGGGTGCAGCGATACCAGGCTTCTTATCTGCTTCTGTCTACCAGGGTAGATTAACAGCACGCTATCCTCCCCAGAGAGCTCTGTCCCTGACCACCTCTGCCCACCACTGCTGGAGCTGCCCTGCAAACGTCTCCTCAGCTTACAGCCCTGGCACCCTGTCCGATTCCGGGACCACTTGATACCATCTGAAGGGTCAGCAGCCCGACAATAGACCACACCCTGCTCTGCTTCCTACTGTGTGGGAGTGACCTGGAGCCAGGGGTGGCTCTTTCATATATGCTGTATCCAGAGGTCATACATCTGGGAACAGCAGTGGAGGGGCCTGGGAAGGAGATCTGGAGGCTGCAGGGCTGGGAGCTCCTCTGTCACCATCTACCCTAGTCCATGGGGCAGTGCGGGGGGAGATGACAACCGGGAGGGTCTGCCGGGAGCAAGAAACAGCAGTTCCTGTCCTGCCGTGGCCCGAAGCTAAAAGGGGTGACCCGTGACCCATATCACCCCTTACCTATTGTTAATCCTTCACTTTTGCTTTCCTTCTGAGCCTTGAGGATCATACTGCTTAGGTGTTCCGGGTGCCTGTGAAGCGACTGTGCTCAGAGAGACAGGAGAAATGGGCCTGGTGGCACACACCCGTGATCTCAGCACTCAGAGGAAAGAGAATCGCCCAGAAGTTTCAGGCCGGTCTGGGCTACATAGCGAGAGCCTGTCTCAAAACAAAAGCAAGGGCCACTCTTTAGGTAGAAGTGCCTGCTGCCAAGTCGGAAACCCCAAATTCAGTCCCTGGATCCCACATGGTAAAGTGGGAGGATCAGTTCCCAGAAGCCGCCCTCTAACCCCTCTGTGTGCGCTGTGGTACCCACACGCACTCACACACAAACAGTAAAGAAAGAGAACATTTACATGTTAAATAGTTATGCTCATTAGAAACCTGGATTTCAAATTATTTATTTATTTATTTATTTATTTTGGCAAGATTTCTCGGCGTAGCCCTGGCTGTCCTAGAACTCACTCTGTAGACCAGGCTGGCCTCAGACTCACAGAGATCCACCTATCTCTGCCTTTCAAGTGCTGGAATTAAAGGTGTGCGCCACCACCACCCACCAATTATTTTATTTTATTAAAACAAAGGTCAAGGAAACCTCTGGAGCCCTGACACAGCTCACACCTGGCTTGCCCTCCACACAGAGAGACTCCCTGGGGCCACCCCTTCCGAACAACATCAAACAGACCCAGGATTTCCTGCCTGTGGTCTCTCCCAGTGCTGACAACCCAAAGCAGGTTCAGAAATCTAGGTGCTCTGGTCTCCACAGATCCTGTGGCCTCTGGTGTTCTAGGAGTTCTATCACTGCGGGGCACCACCTGGCCACCCCATCACTGCGGGGCACCACCTGACCATCCTGTCACTGCGGGGCACCACCTGGCCACCCCATCACTGCAGGGCACCACCTGGCCACCCCATCACTGCAGGGCACCACCTGACCATCCTGTCACTGCGGGGCACCATCTGTCTGGCAGAAAGGACCCCGAGTGTGGTCCTGGGTGGAGACTCTGATTCACAAACTGCTCCCATGTCCAGACCTCAGGCTGGAAGTCACAGTCACTCCTCAGAAGAAGAGGTCACCCCTCCCCTGTGTTGTGCAGCCCCCTTCACTCCCAACACAGGCCACCTTAGTTGTTCCAGAATAGCTCCTCTGTTTTGAAAGGCCGACGTAATGACAAGGTTCAATGCCTCCCCAGGAAGTTCCCATGACTAAAACCCTGGCACTTTGTTCTTGTGTAAATAGCCAGTACTATACAGTCTCCTGCTCTCTCCAGTGCGCACCCTCCTCCTCTCCTAACAGATGTGTCTATCCTAGTGTGGTCTGCAACAAGCCATGTGTGACCACCAGGTGTGCACCCTGGGCGGCCCTTTGCTCATCTGGGTCAGGGCTCTGTTGGGGTTTTTACAGTCACAGAGAAAACCTTATGCCGTGCTGGTAAATCATCCTGTGGGGGAGATGGAGACCCCTGACTCATAGAGGTTACCAATCCCTATTGTATAAACACATCCACCGACCAACTAGTCTGAGCTGGCTCCTGCTTGACAAAATAAGTAACAAACCCCCTGGAAGTGAAGGGGGGGAAGGGTCATCGTGCCCTGCTCCGTGAACTTCAGGCTGGGGAGCTGATACATTCAGTAAAGTGCTTGCCTCACAAGCATGAGGACCACAGTTCAAGCTCAGCACCCACAGAAACAGCCCAGCCAGGTGTGAGAAGCATGCGCCTTTAACCCAAGCTCTGGGAAGATAAAGACAAAAGGATCCTTTGGGCTCCCTGGCCGGGCAGCCTCACCTAATCTGTGAGCCCCGGTTCCCCATGAGAGACCCTGTCTCACACCTGAGTTGACCTCTGACCTCCACCACTACATGCGCGCACGCATGTGCATGTACACACACACCACACACACACACACACACACACACACACACACACACGTGTGAACTTTGAGGACACAGGAAAGCTCCAGCTTGAATAACTGAGACTTTAGGCAGGTTCCAGTTGCCTCCTCTGCCTAATCAGGTTGATGGAACCACCTGTAGGATTGTTGAGAACGACAGCAAAGACTAATCAGATAGTTCAGGCGCTGTGAGCGCCCAGCCCTGTCTAAGCTACCCAGAGTGTAAGTAACTACATTCCAAAGAGGCTAACAGAAGAGTCTGACCTTGGCCCTGGCACAGTGGCAGAGAGACCTCTTTAAGATGCAGAGATGTGTGTTTTTTAAAGACAGGATCTCTTGGTAGCCCTGGTTGGCCTGGACCCTGCAGAGCCCCTCCTGCCTCTGCCACCTGAGTGTTGGGATTACTGGCGTGAGCTACCGTGCCTACTTTTCATTTTTCTATGTACAAACTTTTTCTTCCAAGGTTGTTCCCTCATCCTCCCTCTAAGAAGTAGAATCCATGAAACACTTCTCTCCCCACCCCTCGCTCAATGACTCAACAGGTGGAGGCGCCTGGCACCAAGTCTGATGACTTCAGTTCAGTCCTCAGCACACGCATGATGGGAGGCGAGAAGTACCTCCCACAGGCTGCCCTTTGTGCTCCACTTGATCCTGGACACACACACACACGCACAGACACACATGTGCACACATGCACACAGTCACACACATGCACGCACACACATGCACACAGACACACACATGCATGCATGCACGTGCACACACACATGCACACAGATGCATGCACACAGACACACACCACACACACATGCACACAGACACACATGCACACATGCGCACACACGCACACATGCACACAGACACGCACACATTCACATACCACACACACACACACACAGAGCCCTGGAGCCATCCTCCTGCCTTCACCTCCCTAGTGTTGAAATTACAGACTTATGCCACAGATCCACTTTAGACTGTTTGCAGTTGTAGTTGGTGTGGCCTGGCTTCACTCTTCTTGGGGATGACACACAGAAAGAGAAACTATGTCCAAAAAGGGACACCATGCCACAGGCAGAGGCAGGTGTTGGCTTGCCCAAGGCCCTGACTCCTGCCAGGCGGAGCACTAAAAGCTGTCTGCATACCCTGAATGCCACAGCATCAAACCAAGGCCTGTCATGGGTAACAAGCAGCACATGGATTTCTGGCATTCTCTGGAGAGTACTGCAGCTCAGGTCAGACACCCAGGAGAACCTTCCAGAGACAGAACACCATACAAGGAAGCCAAAGCTTCGTCTCACGGGCCGCGGTTGGGGAGGAGAACTCAGAAAGGTCAGAACTTTCCTTGCTCACCAAGAGGGAATCTCTGTCCTGGTACATCAAGTCACAGAAGGCAGAATTACAGGGAGATCTGGAGCCTGTGACAAGGAGTTTTTGGTGACCTAAGAAAGCATCTGAGACTTCGATGTAAAAGAGTTTTGGGTCAAAGTGAATAAGGACCAAGGCTGGGTGGGCATAGTGGTGCCCATCTATAATGCCAGCTCCTGGGTGGGCATGGTGGTGTCCATCTGTAATGCCAGCTCCTGGGTGGGCATGATGGTACACATCTATAATGGCAGCTCCTGGGAGGTAGAGGCAGAAGGATCGGGGGTTCAGAATCATCATCAGATACATAAGGAGTCTGAGGCCAGCCTGGGTCATGTGAGACCTTGTCTCCAGAGAAAGGAAGACCCATCTGGGCCATCTGGGATGCTTTCCAACTGCCTGGCCCACTCAGCTGTTTCACTGTGCTGAGTGTCCAACACGCCTGTGTGTGTCCAGTCACTGCTCTTACTGAGCATGGTTCACGCGTGTAATGTCGAGCAACTGGGGAGACAATGACAAGGAAGGACAAGGCTGGGACCTTTTTTATGTCAGAGGTGTTCCTTAAAGGGCAGCTCACATCTGCAAGTCCAGCATTCAAGAGTCAGAGGCAGGAGGATCGCTGCAAGCTTGAGGTCAGTCTGGGCTACACAGTGAGTTCTAGACCACGCAGAGTGACAGAGCCATATGCTGTCTCAAAAGAAAACTCTAGAAACAGAAAACAAAACAGGCATGTTCGTGCTGAAAGGAAAGGCACAGACCCGACACCACCCCACAGGCAACACGCTACAGTAGTCAAAGACACTTGCTGCTTTTCAGAAGACCTAGACTTGGTTCCCAGAGCCCATATGTCTCTGCTCACACCATATGTAACTCCAGCCCTCTTCTGGGCACTGCATGCATGTACAAATGCTGGTACACACGCTCACAGGGGAAAGAAAGAAAGAAAGAAAGAAAGAAAGAAAGAAAGAAAGAAAGAAAGAAAGGAAGGAAGGAAGGAAGGAAGGAAGGAAGGAAGGAAGGAAGGAAGAAAGAAAGGAAGGAAGGAAGGAAGAAGAGAGAGAGGAGGGAAGGAAGGAAGAAAGAAGGAAGGAAAGAAGAAAGAATCCTTACAATTCAATAAAAAATACAAATACCTCTGTTTATCTATTTATTGTTTGTTTGTTTTGAGAATGGATCTCAAGTAGCCCAGGATAGCCTTGAACTTACTATGTAGCTAAGTCTGTCTTTGAACTTCTCATCCTCCTGCCTCTACCTCTCAAGCGCTAAGATTACAGGTGTGTATTACCTGGCTCAAATATATTAATTTACAAATGGACAAGGTGAACATTATGCTGGTGCCTACCATCCAACTACTTGGGAGACTGAGCTTGAGAGGATCAAAAGTTATAGATCAGCCTGGGGTACATTCTGAGACCAGGGGTGGGGAAAAGGAGGACACCCCACATTGCTGGTGGGAATACTAAGTAGTGAACCCTAAAAACTAGTATTTCCTCAAAAAGCTGAACCAGGAATTACCATGTGACCTAAGATGACCTAGAAACGTCACTCCTCCTCCCAAGAGAAGAAAAAACATTTCACTCAAAGTCTGTCAGAACACCCAGAGCGGTGTTCTTTCGTGGTTACGAAAATGTGGATGTCGTACAATCCATCAAGCTGGGAAAGGCAGGGGCATGAGGTGGGTGGTCGTGCCATATCTGTCTGTAGTCAGGAAGCCGAGGCTTTCCGATGCTCTGCTTAATTTCTCTTCCTCTTTCCATCCAGAATCAGCACACGAGAGGGTTCACTTGCAGGGTGTATCCCTCCTCACCGAGCCCTTCCTGAAAACGCTGTCCTAAGTCACACTCAGAGGCGTGTTCTATGATCATTTTAACCCAGGCAAGCTGATCGTGAAGATGAACCATCACCCAAATTAAATGGCCAGAAGACTGGATGGGTGGATGGATGGATGGATGGATAGAGATTTGACAGAGCCAGGAGAGAAAAAGGGTGCACACTCAAACATGGATGAACCCTGAAACACCCTGAATACACAGGTCTGTAGAGACAAAGGGGGGTGCCTGGGACTCAAGAGGAAAAGACTTGTGAAAACTGCCTGTGAGTCTTAGGCCTTTTTGTTTATGCAGTTCAGACTGGCCTCCAACTCAGAACAATCCTCCTGCCTCAGCTTCCCAAGTGCCGGGATTGCAGGCTTGTGCCATCACACTCAGTTCTGAATATGGTCTTTTGTGGGTAACAAAAATGTTATAAAACCAATCGTGGCAATGGCTATACTACTCTGTGAATATTTTTAAATTTTCATTTAACCCCTAAAAGGGCAAACTGGGAACTGGAAAGATGGCTCAGGAGTGGACAGTTCCTGCTGCCTTCAGGGGACCTGAGTTCAGTTCCCAGTGCCCAAACCGGACAGCTTACAAGAACCTGTGCTCCAGGGGATCCAGTGCCCCCTTCTGGCCTCTTCTGGTACCTGCACACGTGTGGACATCAGAGAAACACATACACACACATAAATAAAAGTGAAAGAAATCTTTTTAAAAGACACAAGTAAACAAGAAAGCAAATTGTCTGTCACGATGACAGCAGCCACCCCAGCACCTGAAGGCTGAAGCAGGAGGCTTACAAGTCCAAGGCTTGCCGGAGCCGATTTAGTGAGCTCTCACCTCATCATAAAGAGTTAAAAGGTGGCGCTGGAGAGGTGGCTCAGCGGTTATGAACACTGGCGGCTCTTCTAGAGGACCAGAGTTCTATTCCGGGCACCCACAGGCAGCTCACAACCAACCATTAACACTAGGGGGTCTGAGACCCTCTCCGACCTCTCTAGGCACCAGCCACATGTGTGGTACACACACATATGCAGGCAAGATATGCATAAAATAAAATAAATATTTTTTAGGTTAAAAAAAGAGTGTGGGTGTAGCTCATGGGCAGAGCTCTGGTCGAGCCTGTGCAGGGTCCTGGGCAGGGAGCTGCGATGGTTCAAGAGGGGCTGCAGGGGCTGCAGGGGCTGCACACAGTGAGGACAGACGCAAGGCCGCCTATGCTCACCTGTCCTTTGCTGCACTGAAAGCATGGCTGGAATGTTGGCTGACACCTGTAGTGCTACCACTCGGGGAAGCAGAGACAGGAGCATTGCTGCGAGCTTGAGGTCAGCTGGGCTACAGAGTAACTCTTTGTCTCAAAAAAAAAGGTAACTAAAAATATCTGTCTCTTCCCTCTGACCATCTCTGTGAGAACCAAAGGAGATGGAACTAGAAGGGAGGTCCACGGTGAGTGAGCCGGTTAGAACCGGACCTAGGGACCAGCTCGAAGCCCAAAGAGGGCAGGGGCACAGTTTAGCTTTCTGTCTGATTAAAGCATCTATTGTTTAGTGTCTTTCTAAGAGGTGCACGTCTGAAATTCCAGAAGCGAAGTTATTCCGGAGCCGCTCGGCTCTGTGGAGGATTCAGTGCCCCGCAATGCTGTCCAGGGTCGGGGCCAGCCTTCTATTCTTGGCCTGTGTTTACCTTCTGCGTGTGTGTCTTTTTCCAGACGTTCCTGGCTTTGCTTACCTTTCCTCCCATCCACTCCCAATTTACTTGAGTCGATTAGTCACAGAAATCTTTTGTGATGAAGAAATCGCCCTCTCTTGCTGAGGGTTCCTGCCCCCTCACCCAGGACCCCCTGAGCTCCCCTTGGCCGTTGAACCTGATTTCCCGCAGCGAAACCTTCCTTGGAGTGATTCCTGGCTTTGCAGGCTGAGAGGCCTCTCCTCCAGGTCAGAGCCCCGGGTAGCCGGAAGTCTGTTTCCTGGGCTCCTGAACCACAGAACCCTGGCTGAAATCCAGACAGCCGACGTCACCCGTCCAGATGGCGGAAACCATTGCTCAACAAAAGGAAATCGATGCCAGCACCTTACTTCTCTGTGACCCTCTCTCTCCAACCCCAGAAAAGCGTTTTCTTGGGAAGCTGAACAGTTGGGCAAAGAGCTTTGGCCCATGAAGTGTGTGGAGATCAAGTCTGGCTGCGTCATGTCATAAGGCTGAGCACTGGACAGAGTCAGAAGATGTAACTCTGAAAATTTCTGCCACCAGGCTCTGACCTTTGTCAAATCATGACAATTCTCTTGGTAATATTTTTTCAAATCTGAGTAATTTTATGCCCTCCGTGCAGGAGCTGTAGTTGCGAGGCTGGAGTGATGTCATCTGCGTGAGCATTTTCATAGCCTGAAGTAGATGGCAGAGCAAAGTTCTGCCTATGAGGAGCTGGACTTCCTCAGAGAAGCTGGACCTAAGGAGGCAGGAGAGAGTGTGGAGGGACTCCTGAGCCAGGCAGCCTGCTCCGTGTGAAGAGAGAGCTTGCCCACAGCCAGCTGGGAGGCATTATTTGACATTCCTGTGCCCAGTTACCAAATGGTCAGAATGAGCCCACCGTGGTGGTTTGCTCCAGCAGCTGTGTGGAGACAGGAGAAGCATGAACTGGAAGCCAGCTGACTGGAGAGATGGTTCAGTCAGTGCCGGCCACACAAGCGTGATGACCCGAGTTAGATGCCCAGCATCCACATACAAAGCTGAATGTGACAGCGCATGTCTATGACCCCAGCGCAGGGGAGGCTGAGACGGGGCACAGGGGAGGCTGAGACGGGGACCCCTGATCAGTGAACTCCAGATTCCATGAAATCAAAAACTAAGATGGAAAGTGACAGGAAAAGACACTTGATATCAACCTCCAGCTTACACATGCACACACACAGAGACACACACACACAAACACAGACACACATACACAGCACACACACACAAACACAGACACACAC